TTAGGAGATAAGGATTACAACAATAAAGGGGATGATTATCCTAATCCTATAATGATTAGGATAACTACAACATATGGATAAATACAAGGAGCTGGATGTGTGGATAATGACAAGCTGCTGGCCGCCTAAGCTTGGGACTGAAGTAGACTGATGTGGTCTGGTCCATTTCCGGATATGTCCCAACCATCATTTCTCAACAGGATTAATAATTTTTGCACATATTCGTTTCATCGAAATATATATTTTTTACAATACCGTTGGGTGAATTTATTTGAAACTTTACTTTGGGGTCGGAATTGAAACATTATTAATTATCAGGGGTTTTCCTCTCTACATTTTATCCTTCTAATTTATTTATTTTTTAAAAAAGGGTACAAGTTGCAACAGTCGTTAAACCCTAAACCTTTTTTCTTTCTCTCCGCCGCGGTAACGTATCACTCTCATATCCCTCTCTCTCTCTCTCAAGTAGTTTTGTTTCTTCATGTAAGTTTCTTCACTGTTTCGTTATAAGAAAAATCAAAAGTACTGCGATTTGATTACGACACACACAGAACCTGTTTACGGACATAGTTTGATTTCGATGACCTTTGCATTGTTCTGTCTTAGAATTGGCTCTCTCTTTCACAATTTTTGTAGTTACTCTCAAAGTTTTTGTCTTTTTCATTAAAATATAGTTTTGCTGCAGAGAGTTGATTTGATTGAGATTTTAGAGCTCAGACATGGTTGAGGTGGAGAAGAACTCTAGTGGAGAGCTGAAGAAGAGAATCAGAAAGCGAAACCGTGGTAAGAAGAACGAGCTTCAAAGAGCGGATGAAGAAACCAACAGGGTAGAGGATAACGGAGATGAAATCAAAAAGAAGGTTAAGATAGTAAAGAAGCTGCAGGGGGAAGTCAAAACTGATGAAGAGGAGGAAGAAGAAGAGGTGGAAGCAAAGGAAGAAGAAGAGGAGAAGATGGTTGTTGTGGCGAAAGGGATAATGACTAATGAGACTTTTGAATCCCTTGACTTATCAGAGCAGACTTTTGAAGCTATTAAGGCTATGGACTTTAAACACATGACTCAAGTATGTAAAGTCTTGAACCAAAGGAGTTGAATTGTTTATTGTGCAATACGAGTACATGTTTCTAAAGTCTCTTAATCATTTTGCTATCCGTTTTTAGATTCAAGCTGGATCAATTCCTCCTCTTTTGGAGGGAAAAGATGTTCTTGGTGCTGCTAGGACTGGTTCTGGTAAAACCCTTGCTTTCCTCATACCAGCTGTTGAGTTGCTCTTTAAAGAGCGTTTCTCTCCTCGTAATGGGACTGGTGTGATCGTTATTTGCCCCACAAGAGAGCTTGCTATTCAGGTACACTCCTTTCATTATCTACCATACTGTCATTGTGAGTAGATGAGTCCTGTAAAAAGGTATAACCATTCTTTGAGGTCCTCATCTTTCATGTAGATTACTCAATTGTAATTGTGAAGTGTGAATGTTGTTGTACATTACCTCGCCTAACATCGCCCATTGTTTTTCACTGTACTATTTTTGATATGTCAGACGAAAAATGTGGCGGAGGAGCTACTCAAGCATCATTCACTGACTGTTAGTATGGTTATTGGTGGAAACAACAGAAGGTCGGAAGCACAACGTATTGCAAACGGTTCTAATTTGCTGATAGCAACTCCTGGGCGTCTTCTTGACCATCTTCAACATACTAAGGGTTTCATTTATAAACACCTAAAGGTACTGTCCTTTTCATTGTTCTAATTCGGCGCATGTTCTTGTCTTATTTCTGACAAGTAGATGTTGTATTCAGCAGCTTACGCTGTGATAGAGCTTGAGAGTGAATAATGTTTGGCTTATAATTAGATTTTTAGCCTGGGTTGTAGTCGTGGTACTAGTTGGAATGTAATTTACTCGAATTTAAGCTTTATATGATTCTAATGGATATATATTCTTTATATATGTTCCTTTCAATTGCAGTGCCTTGTGATTGATGAAGCTGATAGAATACTGGAAGAAAATTTTGAGGAAGACATGAATAAGATTCTAAGAATTTTACCAAAGGTAAATTATCTCTTTGTGTCTTAATTAACGTTTATCTAAAGAAGAATGAGAAAGCTAGAAAAAACAATAGTTTCAGTATCAGAGACTTTTTTTTGTGTGTGGAAAGTTTTCTTTAGGGAACATGCTATTGCATTGCTATTCTCCTCAGACAAAACCCACTAGCGAAGTAGTAGTGTTGTTTGATTTGTATGTTAAAATGTCTACACATATCATGTGCTCCATAGTTTTTGACATTACTATGGTTTTGTGTTTGTTCTGATTAACCATGTTTCTGCAGACTAGGCAAACCGCACTATTCTCTGCCACCCAGACTTCCAAGGTATTTTTCTGTTACCTTCGTTATTGTCATGATTAGTATTTGCTCTTACTTAATTATGTGTACTCTTTGTGAATTATTGCAGGTTCAAGATCTTGCTCGGGTGTCATTGACGTCCCCTGTTCTTGTTGATGTCGATGATGGTAGACGCAAGGTATGAATCACAAGAAACACTCTCGTAATGAAACTTTTAAGGACCAATGCCATGTAGATTTTACTTAATAAGTTTCCAAAAACTGTTAGGTGACAAATGAAGGATTGGAACAAGGCTACTGTGTTGTTCCGAGCGAAAAGAGACTTCTCCTTCTGATTTCATTTTTGAAGAAGAACCTAAACAAGAAAATAATGGTGTTCTTCTCAACGTGCAAGTCGGTACAGTTCCATGCCGAGATCATGAAGCTAATCAACGTGGATAGCTGTGACATCCATGGAGGATTAGATCAGAACCGAAGAACTAAAACCTTTTTCGACTTTATGAAAGCAGAGAAAGGTATTTTGTTGTGCACTGATGTTGCTGCTCGTGGTCTTGACATTCCTGCCGTGGTACGTAATACGTTCTTACATTGATTACTAACACTTTATATACTCAATTGTAGTACTGAAAATCATATTGTGTTGAATCTTTGTTATATGAAGGACTGGATTATACAATATGATCCTCCAGACAAGCCAACGGTAGGAGAAATCGCTCTTCTGGTCTTTCTCTATCACGTCTGTATAATTTGTGTTGATGATTGATGTTTGTTTTCAGGAATATATCCATAGGGTTGGTCGAACAGCCCGTGGAGAAGGAGCAAAGGGAAAGGCATTGCTTGTCTTGATCCCTGAAGAGCTTCAGTTCATTCGTTACCTTAAGGTATGAATGGGGTTTTTTTTTTTAATCTTCTTGTGGTTAAACCTACTTGTTTTTAACTGATTTGTACTTTAACCCACAGGCTGCAAAAGTACCTGTTAAAGAGCTTGAGTTCAATGAGAAGAAGCTTTTGAATGTTAGATCCGCTCTGGTAATTGTTCTGCTTCAGTCTCTTTGTGGGTGAATGACTTTAGCACAATTCGTTTGTGAGAACATTGTTTTTTCGTTCTTGTACTGCAGGAGAAGTATGTTGCCAACGACTATAATCTTAACAAGATAGCCAAGGAAGCCTACAGGGCTTATATCGCAGCTTACAATTCACATTCTCTGAAAGACATCTTCAATGTTCACCGGCTAGATCTTCAGGTATGGTTCACACACAAATAATACTATTGTTCTTGCAAAGTTAGAAGATAATCATATTTTTTTTGTCATGGGATGTCACAGGCGGTTGCTCTATCCTTCTGCTTCTCTTCGCCGCCAAAAGTGCATCTGAACATAGAAAGCGGAGCTGGGAAGGTGAGGAAGGCTAAGAATCAGCAAGGTCGCAATGGCTTCTCTCCTTACACTCCATATGGTAAAGGCAAGTCCACACCCAAAGAGGCATGAAGTGTCTTGACCGGACTAAAAAGATTTATACATGTTTTATTTATCACCACCAAGTTTTGCCTCAACAGTATTGTGGTTTTTTAATTTAGATGTTATGTTTCTTGTAACTTCAAATCTCTGTGTTGTTATAAGAATTGTTTAATCATTTAATGGTAGCTTTCTTATAAAAAAAAAATAAGACGTTGAGAATAGTCACAGATTAAAAATGAAGTAACCATAATAATGAAATGAAAGAAAACTTAAGGAGAATAAAAATGCTAAACAGAAACTAAAACATGCCCTAATGCCAAACCATAACTGAAACAACAAGAACAGAAAAGGCAACAAAGACGGAACTACTGAACTTGACAGCGGTTTTAGACGCACTACTCTTCTTGTGAGTTGAAGCTGGGAGAGACGAAGAAGAAGAGGACGAAGGAGGAGGAGAATCTGGCGAAGACTCTGTCTCCATGACTTTAATGATCATCTTCTGACCCTTTTCACAGTGGCCAGAGACACCACTGATGAAGTAAAACAAACCGGGACGGTCTAGTTTAAAAACCGTGTCTTGGTTATTGGAATAGAGTTGAGGTTTAGTCGCCTTGCACTGCTTGTACTCGTCTTCTGACACAACCAACACTGAGTCTTTCTTGTACTTGAAACCTTCACCAAAACCAAAAATTCCCCCACAAGAGGTTGACACATATTTGTAAGGATGATAAAAGTAAGAAGGAATATAAAAAAAAAATACTTACGGATAGTGTCGCCAACTTTAAAACGGTTGTGGGAAGCCCATTGGTTGAACACATCTCCATGAGTCTTGTTAGAATTGGGTACGACCCAACCATCTTCTCCTCCAACTTCAAGTTCAGTGCTTGAAACACACGAAAACATAAAAAATGAAACAAGAATAGTAACAAGAGTGATCTTCTTAGATGAACTCATTTGTTGTTTTTGGATTGATATGTTTTTGGAATTTAAAGTTACGGGGATTTGATATTTTTTTGTAGGGTTCTCTGCTGCTCTTATGGATTGTGAATGCTTGAGGCTTTGGAGTTTAAAAAGAGTGAGACGTCGAGGTCTGTTAGTCTTGTCCACTTCTTGAGGGATAATTAATGTATTTTGACTACGTATTTCACTCTCTCTTTTTTTTTTGAAACATTTTTGAAAACATTATGACTTGGAAATTGTTGAGGAATATCCGATTATGTGGGATATTTGCTTTTTGTTCTGAACTACTACAAAACTTTAAAATTGTGTGTTTCCAAAAAGAATTCTTACGATCAATTTAGTAAAAATATTGATCACCTATGCATGGTTGGCTCTCGAATATATAATTACATCTATGAAAAATAAATATAGCTTACTCTATACTCCCTCTGTTTTATAAATAAGTGTTTTCTATCATTTAAAAAATTAAATAAATGTCATTTTAACTTTTCAATACAAATTTCTACACATAATCTATGTCTTATCCTTTTAGCCAACCAATAGATGTGTTTAAAATTGTTTCTATTTAAATAATTGCACTTTATTAAACAAAAAAAATTAGTATATTTTTTATTTTTTTAATATACGTGAATATGTTAAAATAATACTATATTGAAATAGAGAGAGTATAGGATAGCAAATGTTATTTTGTAAAAGAAACATATTATTTAATTTTATCTTGTTGAAATTAGATTATCATATATTAATTCAAAATATAATTTCGTGTTGTAGTTGAATCAATATGAAAATCTAAAAAAAAAAAAAACAAACTTATGGCTGGCTAAGTGTATGGTTTGTACTTTTTTGATGACTACAAAAAAAAGCAAGTTCCCTTGTCATTGACCATTTCTAATAATTTTCAAATTAGGGTTAAATTTCCATTTCAGAAAGTTTCGGTCCATCTAATTGAGTTCCCAAATAATCTAGGCCCTTTGGTACCAAAACATTCTAATAACTTTCTCCACTTTGATCCCTTTTAGGGTTTAAGACATTGTTAAACCCAGAAGCTTGTGTTAAAACAAAAAAAAAACACAGAAACCTAACTACATCCGAACTCAAATGGCGAATTCAATGGCTACGCTTTCCAGAAGACTCTACCGATCTCTCCTATCCAACCCCAGATTCTCTCAACCTCCCAGATCTTTCTGCACCAACAACATCTCCGATGAGGTATCATCCTCCATCTCAGACACTGAATCACCCAACGCTTCAGATCCAAATCATCGATTCTCCGGAGAAGATCGCGTGATGGAAGAGCGTCCACTCGAAAACGGCCTCGACGCTGGCATTTTTAAGGTACCTTTGCTTTTTTTAGTCAGTTGTTTCAATTGGAAATGGTGTCTCTTAGAATCTTCCAAGGAAATCGAGGATGATGTGCGTCGGTCTTATATTCCTCGGAGTAGAAATGGACTTAGTAAAAGAAGCAAGGACCATACACTACATTTTTTTTCTATATAGATGGACTAGACGGAGATGTTCTTGTCTGACCAACACATAATTTAGTTTAGATGGATAACTGAAAAAAAATATTATCTGAAATGTTGATGATTTCAGGCGATATTGGTGGGGCAAGTGGGGCAGCTACCTCTGCAGAAGAAGCTGAAGAGTGGGAGAACGGTTACTCTCTTCTCTGTAGGAACCGGTGGGATGCGGAACAATCGGAGACCGTTGATTAACGAAGATCCGAGAGAGTATGCGAACCGTTCTGCTGTCCAGTGGCACCGTGTCTCTGTTTACCCTGAGCGTTTGGCTGATCTTGTCTTAAAGAACGTTGAACCCGGGTTAGTTCTCTCTTCTGAGAATTGTGTTTGAATTGGTGGAAAAGAGTGAGACTTTTTAAGTGAGTTTTAGTTGGGTAGAATCAAAATGGTAAATCTTGTTTTTTCTTTTTTTTTTTTTTGTGTGGATGGATAACATATCTCATCTTCTTTAATACAAACAGCACCATTGTCTACTTGGAAGGTAATTTGGAGACCAAGATTTTTACTGATCCAGTCACTGGTTTGGTTCGACGTATTAGAGAAGTCGCTATTCGTAGAAACGGTATTGATTTTGATCATTCGCATTTTACATATCTGCATTGGGGATCTTGATCTTGATCTCTGTTTCTTCTTCTTGCAGGCCGAGTTGTGTTTTTAGGAAAAGCTGGTGATATGCAGCAGCCAAGTTCTGCTGAGCTCAGAGGCGTTGGCTATTACTGATTGTACTTGGCAAACAATGTAATTTGAAGAGGTTTACTCAGTGTTATTCAATTCTCACTAGCCCTTTTGACATTGTTTTTGTTTTGGTGGCAAATAAACCGAACCATTACATTTCAAAATAACCCAACTGAAAAGATAAAACAAAGACTAATCTCCACGTGTTTGCAAAACTTGAATGGATGCTACCTCAAAGACTCAAAGCTATATATTTGTCCTACGTTTGTGTTTACCTTTTTTCTGTTTTCTGTCACCCACACAAAAAGCAACGATCACTCTCTACAATGGCGGTAACGCTGTCCACCGGTGACTCCCATTATTGGCCCATCTACAGTAGAAACACCACCACAAGAAACAACCCTTATGCATCTCTTCCATCTCTTTGGTTTCCTCGCTCTCTTCATATTCGGTGGAATCCTCATCTTCCTCCTAGGTGCAACTGTGACCGCCGCTGGGATCGATTTCATTGCATTTCTCCCCTTGATCATCCTCTCGGGTCCGATCTGGATTCCGGGATTTGTCCTTGTTGGCTTGTGCTTAACCGTCACCTGGTTTCTTGTTGGAACAATGATTATCTTATCGTGAACGTAGTGTTATTTCCGGGGAATGCACCCGAACTGGATCGGATCAAATGGATTATGGACGTGGACGTGGTCGGATCTATGACACGGCCTCCCACGTCAAATATTACGCTAGAGAGTACGGTGGATAATTCAATGGTAGGGCTAAAGATGCAGCCCTTGGTGCTTAATCTGACCCGGTCGGTGTTGTCTGGTTGAGGGTAATTAAGGATGAGCACTATTGCATGGTACCAGTATCACATTTTTGTTATTGTATTTATGTTTATAAAAAAACAAATATCTACGTCACGGCTCTGTTTTTGCCGACTCGGCTAATAGAGTCATGGTCCTCTCGGAGCTAGCTGCTCTAAAAAAAATTTACCAAAAAAAAAACAAATATCTATACAGCCTCTATAAAATTTTGGATGCATGTTAGCCACTTAAAATGTAATAAATATTTGGGCTTATTTGTGAAATGGGCATAAAAAAAAAAAGAAAATTAGATTTTTAGAGAGAGAGAAGAGAGAGATAGGGAGAGGATGGAAGAGAGAGATAGGGAGAGGATGGAAGAGAGAGAAGGGGGATTTGGTTACTTACCTAATTTATTTTTTTGTTGTAGTTATATAGTGCAATTCTCCTAAATATTTTTAGCGAGTTTTACATTTTTTATTTTTGTAAGATACTTATATGGTCAAATGTCTTTCAGTTATATAATATGTTTTGAAGAATGATGAGTATATAGATTATAACCACATAAGATCTCGTTTTCTAAGCAGTTAATGATACTAATAGGAGTATCTTTCTCATGTTACATTGATCTTTGTTGTGTCTGTTTCTAATAACGAAAATTACTTGTATGATTATAAAATGAGGTTTAGAGAAAAACATCAAGTTAACTAGAATCTTAGATAATGGTTAGAAACCATCATGAGTTCTAATGATTAGTTTAATTATTAATTTTATAATTTGTGAAGTTTAGAACTCCTATTAATGTGATTAAATTTGTTATGGTCCAATGGAAAAATCACTTTGAGTTACTTAATTTTATACTGAAATTTTAGAAGTTGAATTATTAAATTTAAATTTTACAAAACTTATAAATTATAAGATTTCATAAAATTTAAACAAATATGACATAAAAACATATTAAAATGATGTCAAAAAGAGCATATTAAAAATAGAAATACAAAATTTTTAATTAAAATTTTTAAACAAACATGAAAAGAAAAACCATGAAAATAGGTTCATATGCACAATATACAAAACACATGAGACTCAAAAACAATGTCAAACAACATCAAGGTTAACATTGGTGAAACTTACTTGATGAGAATATGTTCATATGCAGTAACTAAGTCATCTGTTTCAACTCCCTTAAGACGAATATTCGCTACATATACCTACCAGAAGAAATCATCATATTATTAGACAGTTGAATAAAAAAAGGAAAGACCTTTAAGGACAAAGAGAGTTACCCTCAATAGGTTTTGTGATTCTCTTCCCTGTCTTCCTTTGGTTATAGCCTGCATTGTTGTTAGACAATAGAACACTAAGAGGTAACAAAAGAGGGGAGTGAGTGAATGAAATCACCATCTCTCCAATAGCAGTTGAGGGAATGGAAGAGATGTTTCCATAAGACAAACCAGAGCCGATCCTAAAAAATCTTAGGCTAGAAACAAATTTAAAAAAGGCCACAGTATACTATTTGAACCCAGGTTGGGTGCATGAGAAGTTAGAAGCCATGATTTTACCGCTAGATCAAAGGGATCTTTTAAAAATTTGTGGCCGAAATTGATGTTATAGTAAATCGGCCGAAAGTCACTGCTTCCTTGGCTTGGCTCAAGGGCCGCCTCTGAGACAAACCATGGAAAAACCTTATGTCTCCACAAGCTTTATGTCCAGCTCCATAGAATTAATGTCTTCACCCTACCTGCAAAAACAGAACATGACTCACATGTTACATGTTTATGGAAACCATTGGCATAGAGGATCAACATCTTTCGATCTTGGCATAGAGATGTGAATCTAACACAGAAAGGGAAACCAAATCTAACACAAAGAGAAACCAAACGATACAACCACGAAGAGACTAACAACACACTGGTTATTGGTTCGTAGTAGTTTTCAACAAGAATCATTTTAAGAACAGAGATAAAGTCTAGGACCAAACAACAGTAAACCAACAAAACTATGTATCTCCAGTGTCAATCATAATCAAAGAAGCATTCAACAGAGAAACAAATATGCTCTAACAATGTAAATATAATTAAACAAAAGTTCTGAGACAAATCCTCCGACGTTGTTCCGGATCTCGAATCTCCGCCGCCTATTTCGCAAGCCTGTTGTCTAACGCTGCGAAACTTCCTCCTATTTTGGCTGGCGGGGATTGATACCTTGAGTTGACGATGTTGACGATTTTTCACCTGAGATTAGGTTTGTTCAGAGAGTCTTTTTCGCTTTTTCATTGAAACACCGGTACTCCGGTATTATTTATATTGTTTCAGCTTGACTCGACTTTGATCTCGTTAACAAATCGCTTGACTCGCCGGAGAGGAAAGATGAGGTCTTTTTCTTCATCACTTGATGAATCGGTTGTGTCATGATCGGTTATAGAGACACGAATGAGAGAGATGACCAATATAAAGAAAGCACGTATGAGGTGCTTAGCGGTTCTAAAATCTTTTAGTTAGACATTGGATCTCTTGAATTTTCCTTTTTCATTTATTTATTATTTTATTTTTAATAATATTTCTAAAAATGATTTGTGATCCTAATTATACGTCCCATGGACATGACAATTTTCCACCTTTAAATTGTTTTATTTAAAGTTAGGTTGAATTGAAATTCTGACCAACAAAAAAGTTATAACTAGATTGAACAGAAATTGCACTATATTGAACAGCTTGACATGTAGAAAAGATTCCAAAAGATTTTATTTAGAAGTACCTTAATTTCAAATACACAAGCACTTTCATTTACTGGGGGCTAGGAAGAAAAAATCCAGCCGTTCGGACTCCACATAAATAACAAAAGCACTCTTATTATATAGCAGCTAAAGATTGATTAATTATGGGTTATTGATTCATGAACTGTTGGCGTAGAACTTTCTTATGCACTTTGTAGCTGATTATAACATTAGATGAATTATTCACTAATTGACTATTCATGATCGCCAAGGAATATTATACGCTCGAACGTGACATTAGGGATATAAACAATACTAGCATACATAATATAAATAAGAATCCAAAGATAGTTGAAGACATTTTAAACCTCAACTTTTTCTTGACTTCTTTGTGTTATGATTTGAGGTCAAAGTCACCAAACAATAAGCCTCAGCGCATGAAGTCAACACCCAAATTTGGCCGGACGTTAACCGTTGATTTGGTCCAAGTAGATAACTTGGCGTTTGTAATCATTAACGGGATTCATACTTTCATCATTCCATATATATTAATAAACACATATACCCGAAATAAAGAACTCCATATATATAAATTATTAACCATATTTAGTAACTTTTTACATGCCTTTATATGTTAATGAACGGCTAATAAATAAAGCTTTCCCTTTATTATATTGGATTTTTCATTAAACTTTTTAGTTTGCCAAACGTAATTAGATCACACAACAATATGCATTAAAAATATGTGATATCATCTACAAATAACAAGCGAAGAACGAAACTTTCTAGAGAATCTAATTTACCAACTCACCTCATAAACACACCAAACAGAAAACCAAACATATTCTCAAACTAAAATTTACATTTCCCTTCCCGTCGGGTTCAAAACCGACCCGACATACGAACGGGTCGGGCGTTCCGGCACCAAACTGGCACGTGGCGATCTCGGAGGCAGTTCCTTTAGCTGCTGTCCACTGCAATCATAGTAGATAACGCCGGAGTAATCCAACGGCTCACATTTTCCTCCCATCAAAATCTCTCTCTGCCAAATACCATACTCCTCCTCTTCCTCCTCCTCCTCCATCACCATCTCCACCGCCGTCTTTTTCTTCGCCGGTGTACCTCCAACGTCGTAAGCTTTGTTTTTCCGACCAACCATAGTCTTTGCCTTGTTGCTCAAAGTCGTCAAAAGCTCCTTAGGACGTGCTCTCATCGGCGAAAAAGCCCTCGCCGGACTCCATCCAAACCTTCCTCCACCTTCTCCACCGCCGGAGTTAGGGCTCTTGAGATGGTCTTCGAGATGAGTTGCCTTACGAGTTGGCTTGAGTTTAAGCTTCTTGGAGACTCGGCTTGCGTGTCTTGCGCAAAGTACCATAAGAGAGACGATGAAACTCACGTTTAGACGCTTTTGCCCCGATGAAACATGTTCCGGTTTCGTTATCTCCATGTTCTCCCTCGTTTTCTCCGGCAAGTGATAAGAAAAAGGGTTTAAACTCAACAAATGGATACTTATTAATGTGATTTCTCTTTTGTCTGAATGGGTGAGTTACGTATATTTATATAAACCCACGCGTTAGCGTAGGGTCCATTAATGTGTAAATGTGTTAGGTCACCGGCTGATCCGGTAGCCCTCGCGTTGACATGTTTTGTTGTGTTGACATTTTCTTGATTTCGTGTAATGATCTCGTCTTTTGTATAATATGATATCAATGAGTGATTATGACATCTTAATGTATGAGATCGATGATTGTATTAGATATATTCTTTGTGTAGGACTGGGCATTTTATCCGATACCTGAATCTAAACCCGAATCCGATAAAAAAAAACCTAAACTGAAACTAAACCGACGTAAAATGCCGAACGGATATTGAATTAAGAGAGATTGGATATCCGAACCCGAACGAATAATACCCGAATCTGAATGAAAATCCGAAGATACGTATATTTAGCCTTATATTTCTAGTTTACTTCTTTTATTTTACTCAAAATATTTATATTGATGTTGTACATGGTTCAAAATCATATAATATACAATATATATTATTGTGGATAAAGTAATTTTTTATTCAATTAAAATGTATATCAAACTTTTTTATTTCATACATTAACAAAAGTTGCATTCAAATTCTCAAACTATTAATTAAATTAAATTAGTATTTTCAATTTTAAAAATTTTGTTTTCAAAATTATTAATTATTTAACCTATTAAAAATTCAAAAAGTCAGTTTTGTAACAAAATAAGTGAGTAATGAAGAATTTGATTTTTTTTTTTTTTGAAAATCTAAAATATCCAAACTCGAACCAAAAATAGTCGAACCCGACCTGATATATAAAAATATCCGAACGGGTTCTAAACCTCTATACCGAAATACCCAAATAGAAATATTAGATCCACACCCGAACGTCCCCTTTGTGTATGAAACCTAACGAGCATGCAAGAGACATGCATCAACGATATCTAGGTAAACACTAACGTGTTAGGATTCATTCCTTAAAAAATAGTATGTTCTACAATCCATGAGCTCTGTAACAAAAAAAAATTGTTTTATGTGTTTGCAATGTCTAGTTACATTTAAAATGTTTGTAACGACTAATCACATACTAGTTCTTATCATTTGTTTAAGTTTTAGTTAATCAGTTCATGTATATCAAGACGAGCACTACTGGTGGGGCAAATTGTCAGCCACGCAATTAAAGTGAGGTGAAAACCCCACTCAAAGGTGTTGGCCGGTGAGCAATAACTTCTTCCTTCCATGTTTATCACAAAATCACAACTATCATGGGTCAACATTTTTATTAACAAACAGAAATATAAACCAGAGGCGAGCCTGATTAGAGATATAGATATATATCATCGCAACAGGTTGATTCCGCATCCTGCTCACAACCTTCAAACGCAAAAAAGATCCACCTAGTTTGTTTGTTTTAAGGTTATGGACTACAGATAAATTTTAGATTGAGGAGGTCGTTTTTTTTTTTATATAGTTTACATCAAATTAACCGCCAAATACATAGCAGAATTTATGAATTTTATTATGTACCGATCTCTTCTGACTGGTTTAAATTATGTGGTTAAATATTTAAAAAGCTTGTTGAAAATATATATTCAGATACAGACCTAGTGTTAAATGTGTAAAGTGGTTAGTGTACTTTGTATTGGGATCTATATCCTAGTCACAATTGTAAAGTGCAGTTCATTATCACAACTAACATCTTCCTCTACGTGTTATGCGAAACACGTGTTCAAGTATAACATTTACGAACCAGATGAAATTTATCAGGTTGGGTTAGTGATAGTGGACCCAATTTGCCAATTGGCTTCTCATATTAACTTGATCTTTAATGTGTCAATGAAACAATAACAGAACACGAACGGTATCTGGTAAAAGAGCCCACCGAGTTTTTTTCTATTTTTATTTCGTTTGTGAAACTCTGACTCAGTCTCTCTCGGTCGTTCATTTTATATACGTGTCTGTTGTTACGATAACTTTGTTTGAATAAATTGATATGATTTTGGGGATTGATTAGCCTAGTGTGTTTGCTTAATTATTTACATAAGGAACTTTGATAAGAAACAATTGCTCATGGTAATTTTTAATTTATAACGCAAATCACAGTTTACCAATTTTTTTTTAATTTGGTGTATCCATCAATTAATCTCATTTAGTCTAATAGTCCACTTGATTCTCAATAAAATTAACGTATCATTCACATATAAAAACACCTAACACTTTACGTGGGTGGTTAGCCATTTTAATTAAGGTTCATTAATTAGACACATTAAGGGACGCTAAATGTAGTTGACCGGAACGACCTGTATTTCTTTAGTAACCCACTAATCAAGTTTGAATTTCTGTTTATTTTTTATTTCTCAAAGTCATTACAAGTAGTACCCCTATCATATTACCAAAAGCTGTAAAACGCGATATGTTTATGCATAAATAACAACATTGGTGGAATATGAATGTTAAACTATTAAATTCAAATAGTTTGGTACAAATAATTAACGAAGAAGAATCGCTGTTGAAGGGGAGTTAGGAAGCACGATATCAGAAGTGTTAGGTAGCCTCCCCCTATAAAAGAAAATTGTTTACTTCAAATAAAACCATATAATTTTTTTTTGGTAAAATAAAACCATATAATTCAAAGCTAAAGATACCATTATACCACCTTTGTGCTCGATTAGTCGATTATTCAGGCTATCTTCATTTTGTACAAAGCTCACCAGTACTAAACTAATACAACTTTTCTATTAAATACGTCAAAAGGAACCAAATTAGCAAATATGTGAATCTTCTCACTACGTGGTTCCAAGAACTGTTGACCGTATAGTGCACGTTTTGGATCATTGCATTGTACATAATAATTATTGACTTTCAGATTATAGTGTTCTTATTCGCTCAATTTTCTTATAATTTGTGATATTAGTTTGGTTTGTTTCGACTCGTTTTATATTAATTCTAATATTACTAATTTACTATATAGTATGTATACTATAAACTAGTAGAAAATCACAACCCCATCTATAAAAGATAGTCTCCAAGTAATCGGCAAGTGTATGTTGAATTTAATTAAATTGCCAAAATCTGAGGAGCCGAGTATTACATAAATACATTTTTTAGCTTAATTTGATAATGTGATCTGCCCCACGGCGAGGCAGACGAGATAATTTCTGTGGGCTTTCGGTCATGTTAACATTTGATATTTAATATTTACGGCCTGTTGATTTTAATGGACATGCCTACTATATTGACCCATTCATTATGTGACCATTGGATATCGTGTTCTGTTTTTTTTTTCTAACGCTTATGATCTCATTTAACACCAAATGCAGTAATACAATATTCTAGGCACCATTGCCTAATGAAAGAGAGACATAATGAATCACACCATTGCCTAATGAAAGAGAAACATAATGAATCATACTTGTAATAAAAAAAACATAGAGATACTAGTAGGTAGAGAAAGATCACTCTCAGGAGAATGAACCATACTTGTAATTAAAAAAACATAGAAATACGAGTAGGTACCATAACATAAAAGAGAAAGACACTCTCAAGAGAATAAGCGAGCCTTAGATCATTCCTTCATTCACCAATAGGTGATATGATAATGCTCAAGAGAGTAACAAAACAACTGACCATCGATGTATAACTGAACAAGTTGATCTTGAGTAACACAACAACAATCTCCATAACATCATGATTTCGTGTCAGCCATGAACGGTCTCCAATGACCAAAGATTGTGTAACGACCCAAAACCTAGGTGGACCCATTTTCACTAATAATTAAAATTCTTAAGTATTTTACTTTGTCCCACATTGGAAGTTTAGAAAGTTTACCCCCTTTCCCTTCTCCTATATAATAAACTTTCCCCTTATCTTTTATTCTCATCAAGTCAAAGTATTTCTTTGCGTGTGACAAGTTGTTGAATTATTCGACGACCAGTCACTAAGTAATTTTTTTCTGGCGAGAGTTTCGGTCAAGTCTCCGGGCGAGTTTTTGGGAGATAGTTCCGGTAAGTTTATCACCCCTCTATTTCTAGTTTTGTTAAGTTCTGGTTAGATGAATTTTAGTTTAGGAAACCCGCCTTTTAGGAAAGTTTCTATTTTAGGAAAGTTTCCATTTTAGGAAAGTTTCCATTTTAGGAAAGTTTCTATTTTAGGAAACTTTATTTCTAGAGACTCTGAGCCTAAGTCGTTGATTTCCCTCGTGTTGCAGTTGACCTCAGCTGACAATCTTTCGTTGATCATTCCAGCCAGTGGCAAAGGTGATGGTCTATTCCGTGAATCCCAATACTAGTGTAGAATTCTTCCTATCTTAGTTTAGATTTTGAAGCATGATCTGTCTGTTTGAATTGAGTCTGGTTGAGTCTTGCTTGATAGTTAGGTTATTAAATGTAAACCAGAATTAGGAGGTCTAGAGGATTCAACTATTGTTTGGATTGATTGATGTTAAATGGTTAAATACATATATAAGTATAAATATATATTATAAAGTATGGATTATGTGATGAATACGGGGGCTAGAGAAATCTGAGCTATCGACGTATATGAGTACGGGGGCCAGAGAAATCTGTGCTATCGACGTATATGAGTGCGGGGGTTCGGAGACATCCGGGCTATCGACGCATATTGGAGTGCGGGGGCTCAAAGACGTTTGGGCTAGTGACGCATATTTGTGTGGTGCGGGGTGCAGAGACGTTTGCATATCGACGCATAGTTGCGGAGTGCGGGGGTTCAGAGATGTCTGGACTAGCGACGCATATTATGATATCATATATCCGTATGAGGAGAATGCGGGTGTGTGGGTTAGCTATACACTATGAGCGCATTGGTTGTTTTGTGTGATGCGTTAGGAATTATGTTTGTTCATGTTAGAGCTAAACTTCCATAGTGGGAGTTCTATTTTCTTAGTCGGTGTTTTGTGTGTTTAGCATTCCATACCTCACTGAGTGACTCCCCTGTTACTCACCTCTCATCCTTTCCCCTTTCAGGTGATACTGACGATCGA